ATAATTTGCACTTTCCTTCAATATCCTTTAGCGTGTTTTATAAAAAATTAATTCAAACTTATCTTTAATGAATGAGCATATTTTTATTCATGGATTCAGGTCTACACAAATCATTTTTTAGTTTCATTGTTAACGGAAACAAATAAGCACTTTATGAAAACAACAATCTGCTTAAAATCATCTTCACGTTAATTTACCTAAGAGCATCGTAACTTGAAATAACCACTCATCAAGAACCTTGAACAAATATTTCTTTCTAAAGTAATCCAGTAAAACCACTCGCCATTCCCATGCCTCAAAGAAAAATTAGCTGAGTTTTTCTACTAGACGAATTGCTTCGACGATCAAAATTAATGGAAATTCACACTATCTAGAAACTTACTAGAGTATGCTGTTCAATGTTTTAGAATAGTCTTTATTGAAGGATTGATATAAAGGATCATTGAAGATCTATTTCTTAAGAGATACATTTAAACTCACTTAAGATCAAACCCAGGCCAATACGGTCTTTAGATGAATTCAGTCTTAATCAACCATTACATTAAAATCTAATAATATACTTTTCCCAATTTTATTCATTTTCCGAAATATTTGATTCTCGATTAACTATAGTAGGTAGACAACTCCCTTAATTTGAACTTAATTGACTCCATAATTAATAACTTTAAGCTGGATGTTTAGGATATTCATCTAGAACTCAGTCAATGATAAACACGATTTATATCTCTGACTAAGTTTGTAAACATTGAGCTCCGATTTATTGAGTGAACAGTGTCATGTATGAAACAAAACCTAAAGACCATGGCTTTATTCTCCGATAGTTCTCTGGCTGGAGTCAGACTTTCATAAATAAACTTTGAATTGCACAGGTCTATACAAGCAATCTAACTAGGTATTTTATGTTATTTAATAGACCATAACTTGCACAATACAGCGTTTAATGTTTAGCAAAATAAAAAATTGCTTAGTTTATTCTACAAAACTTATTCTACAACAATTTTGTGCTGAAAGTTAAACAAAACGTCTCATATGTCTGTAGGAATTATTCCATTATGCTGTATGAATGTTCGATTGATTTAGACATGAATTCCAACAAGAATAACGAATTAAACCCCAAAGTGAAGATGAATCCCTCTTTAGGAGGGAAGGTAAGCCGGAGCTCTGTCTCTCTGTAATTTCCCCTATGCTTAATAACTGAGAAATCAATTTATTTCATGTTAATTGGAATACTTACTTCCTACTTTTCATTTTTAACATATCATTATTTACTAAATAAAATGATGAATTTCAGGAATCAATCAACTGAATTCTCCATACTCCAAATAATATTTTTTTCTATATCGTCTTTTCAGAATTAGTTTTCATTAGTGTTTGAAAGATTTTATGACATTTTACCTAAGCTTTTAAAATACAAACCAATTAACACATACGTACACATTCACATGCGAAGATAATGAGAGAAGAAAAACTGTAAGAGATGATTAAAAATTGAAAGGTAAAAAAGTAAGGAATAAATGTAACAAAAGTGGCATATGTGCAGAACGACAAATGTACGTTCTTAATGTCTTTTCAACGTGTTTCTTTTCATCGGAGAGAGGATAAGTGGAAGACGTAAAAGAGATGAAATAGAAACGAACAGTTTTTTACAAAAATTAAGAACGTAAACGAGTAGATATCATTCTGATAATAATTAAACTATGATTAAACGACTAAGTTTGATTCTATAGGCATAACAATTATCAACTTCCAATGTTATGTCAGTTTGTGAATTTAAATACTGTCATTTTTTCGTATTAAAATTAAATTTTCGTCACTATTAGTTTCTATGTTTAAATTGAGCCGTGAATTCAAAATGTAAAGCATTTAATCTTTAAGATGTTGTGTTGTGAGTTTCAAGCCCACATCCTTAAAGTATCGTTGGCGTTCAAACAGTGAATTCAACTCACAGCCTACCTATAGAATTAATAACGTTTCATATCTATTATATACATAATAGTATTCGTCTTCGAATGTATGCGATGGAATTACAAATACTTTTCTAGATGTAAGTGTACCTTATTAATGAATCCGGATCCTAGACTTCTGTTCTGACTATAATGAGATACATTTTTGTGGTTGTTACACAAATACTATGAGCAAATATCTCTACAGATTTGAAACAAATAGTATAATTATTTTGTAGCACAAATACTGTTATCACTTTATACAGTGGTGGACTAGAAATTCAAATATCCTGATAATTTTTCCTCGTAACAGGTCTTCAAACAGACTTTTAAGGCTCAACAACTCCTAAGCTGTATACTTCTTAATCTTTATGACTATAAACGACGTATTTTGATGTACAAAGCATGTGCCTGATCACTCCTATAATATTGTGCTATTATTTTGAGTAGCGTTTGCATATAAGATAAACGTAAGTCAAGTGACAACCTACACTTTGCATTCTCGGAAGTTAAACCACAAATCTAGATCCAACAAACTTAGACCTAACTCTTTTTGGAAGCAGAGATTTCAAAGAAATCTAATTTTTCCCTTCAAAATACTAAATCAAATAAATTTCACGTCCACCAGTCAAATCCAATTTGCAGAAACACCTAGTTACAACATTCACAACTCTTAGTCATTAGTAAAACTGTTTCCCTCGCAATCTTTTCTCTACATAATTCACTATACTAGTAAATTTTCAAAATTCTGGAACGACTTTTTACAATCTATCCTTGAAATAAAATCACTTCCATTATTTGTTCATTGCATCGATGTTAACCTTCCCTCTGAATCAGCCTTAAAAGTGAATACAGCTGTCTATATCCTATTCCACGAGTGAAACTATAGGATTGTTATTATTGAGTGTATTTATCAAACATTCCTCGTGAATATTTTACACTTACACCGCCTTTATCTTAATATCTATCTCGATGGGTAGATCATAAAACAACTTTGCACTTGTACGATGGCAAGCCTATCACAGTGATTTTTGCTGCTTTTGTTTTGTTTTGTTTTTCTAATTATAGATGACTACGACTGTGCTGCAGTGACATTGTCGATGACTTGGAATATGCTATTCATACATCAACAGAACCCTCTAGTCAACCTACAAAGAATTACTGGCTCCTAACTGCTGCTTTGGATTGTTGTAATTCTTGCGATAAATGTTTTTTAAAAACAACTTATTAACTGCATCGTTTCAAACAATTGGAACTCAAATCTCTGTTCTTTACATGTAACAGTTTTCAGTATCAACCTGATTGTGCTTGTAAATTGGCATACATTATATATATTCATTCCATTGTCGTAACATTAATACCATTCCACAATCCAAGTCAATCAATCGGTCATTATCATGGAGAAAATGGACATTAGTTCAAGTCCCCAAGCCACATCAGTATGGCCAAACAAAATTAGCAAAAAGAACAGTAAACAAATGAAATAATAGTAGTGTCAATTTAAGTAATAGATTGTTTCAATCAATGAAAACCTAATATTTATCCTAATTTATTCAGTTAATCGATATTATGTGGATGAAAAACAGTTAAAATAATTACAATAGTAGAAAGCTCGTAGGTTTTTCCTATAGGATTTATATCAGGTTAGTTGATGAGAAGACAGGAAATTACACAGACATATATATACATATATAAATATAAATATATATATATATATATATATATATATATATATATGATTGAACAAAAAACTAACCCAAATTCCTGCCATTACCCAGCCTATAACTAAATATGTCAAGCATTGTCAAACATCTGATTTACAATAAACATATCTAAAGTTCTACTTAATCACTGTATATAACAAGCTGACTTTAGTCAAAACACTACCGAGAAATTACGAAGTACTAAGCATATATTCTGTCTTAACTCATATTTCATTAACAGTATGGTATCATACTCCCCCTCACGACCAAACTTTCGATCTCAATAAACAACATATTACCCTGAGAAACACAGAGCTTCATATCAGTGTCTAATATTTTCAATCGTAGTCAATTTAGCGTATAATTTGACTTGTTCTCAAACAACCATGACAATATACTTGGTCGACAATATAAATCGTGGTTTTCTATTAACATTTCAAACAGATTTATTTGGAGTCGAAACTCAAGAGAGTCATGCTCATCATGTATTTCAATATTTTGGCCAGATATTTTATTTTCTAAAATAACCAGGAGCTTATGATATGTTGCCAATGCTATCACCAGTTAAAATTGATCGGAATGACTTTATGACTAACATATTTACCGCAAGTTCTAAGAGTTCGTATGCAGACAATCAGTCATTCAATCATAGGAGATAGAATGAAAGAGATACTGATTAATTTTTATTGTGTATAAGGTTTCTCTTTCACTGGTATTAACCATAGATTGAAATAATCTTTACTTCAACTGAATTTTTTCAATCCAATAATTTAATTTCCATCAATTGTTTTTAAATACTAAATTTTTTTGTTAATATTCCATAACTAACAATATATCAATTCCATTTGCAATGAACGAATGTATTTCTACTTACCATTGTGGAAAATAATATACTTAAAATAATCACTAATTACTTTATTCAATAGTGTGAAAGTTTTTATTCTAAAGATTATATCTTCTGTAAAAGCCTGTCTTGAATGAAATAAGGTGAACACTAATAGTATTTTACAAGAAGTGAAAACTTTTTAATACTGAAACTGATATAGTATTATAAAAACTTTCGTCTAAATTTAAACGAATAGTTTCATAGTAGTCATTAACATGATTGGATGACCTATTTAGTATACCGGAGAACTATGTACTTATTTATATTCAGTAATTTCAGTGTTTGATTATATTTCTTTGGAAAAGCTTGGACCAGATCGCTGAGCAATATGTTCGATTTACTTAAGATTTAATCGTTGAGATTTTACGAATATGATTTTTCCTTCTTAAGGGTAGAGTGTAAACTGTTTAGTGGTAATTTGGAGAAGAAAAATATTGCGTCAATCAAATTTTAATAATGATAACTTACATTTAGAATATAATGCCAGTAAAAGTGATACACCTGCAGCCACCATCAAAACAATCAATGTTACATCCTGTAAAGCTTCCCACATAAGTTGAAAAAAACTTTTTGGAGGTGTTGGGGGTATTATATTGGTCCCGAAGACTTCACGGCGTTTTACCAAATCATGACTTGACAATCCTTAAAATTTAAACAGAATAATAAAACTCAACAAAATGATGAATAAATTGTAATTTAAAAAATAAACAATATAGTTTTATTGAACAATGTGAACATATTACCAATCTTTAACTATTGTAAACAGAATTTTGAAGATATTATTATTTATGTATGATCATAATAGTAGATTTAAATATTCACTTAAAAATAAGATACAGGATTTATACCCCTAAAAGATTCACATAATAATAATAATAGTAAGAAATAATTATTCCTAGGATCCCTTTCAAAGATCGGTATTACGAGAATTTCGGTAACAGATAAAATGTAGTTAAATAATGATAATTTACATCTAAATTCTCCGTGGAACATTGTCGTTTTCATATACACATAAATTCACTTGTTATTTTGATTTAAGAAAAGAATGTCATATTATTTCATTTGTCACATTTCATAATGAATCGACATTGAATAGGAAAGGATTGAATACCGAAGATCAATGAACAAATATTTCCCCTTGGTTTGAGACTTATCAGTTACGCACACCCACAGGGAATTGAACTAAAAAACTTTCAGTAGTGTGGCAATCTATATCACCCTGCCTATTTTTCCCTAATATAAACGTATTACTAGCAACACTTAAATAAAAATGGACACTACTATCCTTCATCATGAAAGGAATGGTTGAAAAAAATCACATTACAGGTTTATTCTAAACAATCAATCAAGACTGTTTAATATATAATTATCGGAGTTACTGTTTTCTGGATTTTATTAGGCTGATAGGTTATCGGAGCATTAATTTCAACAATACATTAAGGAGATATAATTTTCTTAACGGAACTAAAGCAATTCAATGCCTTACTCTATTAGGAAAGAAATATTAAGTGAAATAAGTTTTCACCGACCAATAATTGACTCATTTTTCCATGAGAAATGCTGTAAAGTTAACCCACTACCAAGTTATATACTAATTTATAAAATTAAACTTAACTGGGATTAGTCTTTAGCATTAAGATAAATTATAAACTATGAATATCAGGAAAACTTATCACCGACTCCTTAAAGTGAAAATATAACAAACATACTTTGTTTCATGTAATCAAAATCGTAAACTAGCTTTACTTCATCAATTAATTTACTATCAATTTATGGCTTCTAACTCAAATAAGGACACTGATGTGAAGTTTAGCACAACTTCAAACACTGTACAACACAACTAAGCTTATCTGAGAACTTTGGGACTAAATAGATTTTCTTCAGTCTTACAGTCACTTGTAATAGCTTAATTGAATCAGAAAAACAAAGGAATCCTGTCAACAAATTGTATTAACGCCATGTAGTTATCTGTTAGCCATTTTATGCACTAAACTAAATGTATAAATCCAATTTACTGGATACGCTTCCCTAAAACAAATAAATTAAGGAAAATAAAATCAAATTTTCTTTAAATTTATTAAATGTGGTGAAGTATCGAAGCGTATGATGCACTGTATTTTTTAAATGCTTATCTATGATGATTTTCCTAAAAGATTTGTGAGAGTTTAATCAATTATCTATTTTTAGTCAGTTATCTCAAGAATTCGATTTCAGAGTATCAGTAACTGCACTTGATATTATCGTTTCTCAATATATTGATAACAAAATATCAAAGACATATTAACGTTACTAGAAAATAATTTCTAAAGTCAAACCAGTAATTACATAACATCACAATATAGAATAACTACACCACTCATGAAAACAGTAATTACTTGAAAACTAACTGTACTATAAACTTATAGAATAAGATATTTCATTGATTCACTATAAAATGATTTGATCATTCTTATTCAGTGTTTCCTTTCTAATATCATGGAATGCACAGTTAAAAAATTATATCAAAAAAAGCGAATTCATCTTTTTATTAGCTTTCTAAGCTAGTTCAATAATTACAAAGTTTTGGTCGAGAAAAAACGATATTGTGTATGTGTAACAAATGTTGTTAGGTATTTTGATGAAGTTTTTTTCTCAGAGCTGGATGGTTTGGTTGTTGAGCTTTCATCGTTCTTCTGAATGACATCATCAGCACAAACTTCAGATAGAAGTGAAGTGCTCGAATTTCTCCATATGTGTTTCATAGCTTGTCCTGTACAGAACAAACCATCCATCTCAGAGAACAAAACTCCATCAAAATCATCCACTTGAGCTATAAATCTTCTCCACCATCTCAAAATCATATGTTGATAAGCATTACTCAAAAACATTTATATTAATGTTTACAATGTAAGTTCTTAAATCTAATCAAAATAAAAGTTGAAAATTCGAGTAAAAGAAAAAAATACTTGAAAAAAAAAACAAAATTATCATATGATAGAATATTTACTTCTTGGAAATTATAATAAATAATTAAAACTATAAAGAAATCAAATTAGAAACAAACTTGTAAAATATATTTTTTTGACAATCAATAATTCATATTTTATAGATCTAAATCATTTATTATTTACTTGATAGACATTCACTCATTTTTTTCTTTTATAGAAAATAATAAAATCTGTATATCAACCTGCTCAACTTCGAGATCAACAAGCTGGATTCCGTAAGGACCGGTCGTACACAGACCAAATTGCGACACTACGGATCATCGTCGAACAATCAATTGAGTGGAACTCATCACTGTACATCAATTTCATTGATTATGAAAAGGCATTTGACAGTGTAGATAGGAGAACGTAATGGAAACTTTTTCAACACTACGGAGTTCCTGAGAAAACTGCCAATATTATCCGGAACCCAGACGATGGACTATAGTGCAAAGTAGTGCATGGAGGACAGCTGACAGATGCATTCCAAGTAAGGACCGGAGTAAGACAAGGCTGTGTACTCTCTCCCTTCCTCTTTCTTCTGATGGTCGACTGGATTATGAAGACCTCGACATCTGAGGGAAAACATGGCATACAATGGACAGCTCAGAACCAACTAGACGATTTAGACTTCGCAGATGACCTAGCCCTCCTATCCCATACACACGAACAAATGCAGATAAAGATAGCCAGAGTAGCAGCAGTCTCTGCATCAGTAGGCCTCAGCATACACAAATGAAAAACCAAGGTCCAATCACTCTTGATGTCAAAACTCTGGGAGATGTAGAATCCTTCACATACCTCAGAAGCATCATCGGTGAACAAAGAGGTTCAGATGCAGACGTCAAGGCGAGGATTAGCAAAGCAAGGTCAGCATTCCTACAGTTGAAGAACATATGGAACTTAAAACAACTTTCAACCAATATCAAAGTCAGAGTCTTCAATACCAACGTCAAGGCAGTTCTACTGTACGGAGCTGAAACTTGGAGAACTACTACAACCATTATCAAGAAGGTACAAGTATTTATCAATAGCTGTCTACGCAAGATACTCAACATCCATTGGCCGGATACTATCAGCAACAGCCTTCTTTGGGAGAGAACAAACCAGCTTCCAGCTGAAGAGGAAATTAGGAAAAGACGATGGAGTTGATGGATAGGACATACATTGAGGAAATCATCAAACTGCACCATGAAACAAGCGCTAACTTGGGATCCTGAAGGGAAGAGGAAAAGAGGAAGGCCAAAGAACATATTATGTCGGGAAATAGAAGCGGATATGAAAAGGATGAATAACAACTGGAAAGAGCTGGAAAGGATTGCCCAGGACAGGGTTGGATGGAGAATGCTGGTGAGAGGCCTATGTTCCTTCGCGAGGAGTAACAGGTGTAAGTAAGTAAGTATATCAACCTAAAAGTTGATATTAAAAATTACTAATTAAGTAGTAGAGTAATAATCAACAAATGGATGTTTACTACTATTAACAATCATTGAAATAGACAATACTATAAATGACATTTTGTTTGAAAAAAAATTGCAAGATTTGTTTTTATTATACAAACTATTATTTATCAGTAAACAAAAAAAGCACCAAAAAAACAGTTTCTGGTTTTTAGAAAGAGAGAGAAACAGAATATTGACTGGTTTGAACTAATCACTCTTTTATCTTAGATAATCTAAAGAATAAAAATAACTGTTCACTTAGAAACTTAAAATTGTTTTTTATCTTTAAAGCTTTTTATAGCTATCATTATCAAGATTTGACTTGACAATTTCGAATAAAGTGAGCATTGGGTAGATGTTATAAATAAATAATATATTTGTAATATCCCAATGAGTAGAAAAATTAGATTTTCTAACGTTTCGTAACTTAGTGTAAGTCCAAGTTGTACTATTTAAACTTGGATTAGTTTTAATTTCGTTATCTATTCTCTGAAGAAGTGACTTACACTAAGTCACGAAACGTCAGAATATCTCATTTTTCTAATCAATGGAATATTACAAATATATTATTTATTTAAAGCTTTTTGTTTAATAATACTAAAATTAACAATTTATTTTTGATATTCTAATATATTTGTTATCAAATGTCTTGACTTTTTTTCCTTAACAACTAATGTTTCAACCTCTTTAAATCTAACAAACATTTTAAATAAATATTTATTACAAGCCATAATTAGTTGAAAATCTATTGAAAACCAAGAAACACTGGAAATATGTTTCATTATCATCTGGAATTATTCATTCAATACACATCAAAAGTTTGCTATTGAATTAAACTCAGGTCTTATGGTGAAAATGATACCACTGAATTACTGAGTTGGAATTAAATTCGCTGAAATGTTTAACTTGTCAATCAGTTGTGTGTTATGATTATCATACAATGTTATCGATGAGTAACTGACTTAATTTTGATTTAATTGTAATAAGTCATCAATAAACTATTGGATTTACGTTCATTATTTCATTATGTACATAAAAATAGTAAATTTAACACTTCTAAAACAAAGAGCCAAAAGTTTATAGTTATAACAACCATATATATTCACAAGCATATAAAAAACAGTATTCCCTGACTACAAGTTGTATCATTGGAACCCAATGCTTTTGTTAAAATAAAGCATTAGCTTAATGATCCTCAACACTGTAAAAGGGATGTTGTGATCAACAGAACGTCTCGCTTATTTAACTCGGTTGATTTAATTTTATTGGTACTAGCCTTCCACTGACATTTAAATATAACTTTGATGTATCAATCTTTATTCAATACACTACATCAATTCTTTATCATAACAAAAGATAAATTTACTTGTTATATTTCTAAACTTAGTTTGGATACATTTCTTGCACTTTTTGTTTGATCTAAATAAGTAGCAAGTGTTAACACTGTAATTGGCAAAAGGAAGACAATTTATAGACAGATATTCAACATCAAACTATGGACATAGCACAATAACGACTTGTCCAAGTATTTAACTAACTTCGAGGATAAATATATATATAAAATAATGCAATCCTATAACTAAAGAGACTTTATTGCTTTTAACTGCCAATTGGAAACCCTGTTTTCAAACGCTTCTTAATTTTCTTCATATATATATATATATACCATTTGTATAACCTCTGCCATACTCTTATACCCATTTGTAGTTACAAACTTTTATGTTTATGAATAACCATTTCGAAGGAAAATTGAGACTTACTAGTTAGTTATGAATAGATAGTCTTTTAGTTATTCTCATTTTCTCAGGGCTGGTTAGTAAAGCCCGACCAATTTATTTAAAGTAGTACTTATTAAACATTAAAACATCGTTTCCATCATTTAAAACAGTGGTATTTAAAATATTTGTCGATCATAGAACTTTATTCAATATACTGATAACTAAATTAATTGACTCCTGAAGCTTCAATAGATGAGAAAATTCACTGAATCTTTATTTATATAGAACATATGAAGACTCAATCCAGTGTGTTGCTACTCAAAAAAGTTAAGAATCAGGTTTTGAGAGAAAAGCGACATGGGCTTCGGATTCTAAAGCGTATGCTCTGGCTTATAGGAAGATTAAAATAAACTCACGTGCTATTTATCAACCTAACTGAAGTTAGTTTCAAAAGTGATATATTGGGAGTCATTAGCCACTCGTTCATAATGAATACCTCTGAATAAAATAAAAATTCAGTAACGAATATTAATTAAAAACATTTTTTAATTACGATCTTTACACGTCATCAGAACGTGAGCCCGATCTTTCTAGCTACCACTCAAATGTAAGCCCAAACCATCAAATGCATTTTTGGATAGTAAAATAGCGCGTTCCCTAAAATGTCTTATTTTCATTAAGTCACTCGCCAAACCAACTGAATCGCTAAGCCACAAAGTCAAATTACATTTCCAATCAATAGCGACAAAATCTAAGGCATCAACTAAAATTTTCCGACTTCTAGGCAACTTATGATTGCATCTTCGTATGTTTCCAACTGCCATATCTGTATTCCAGTGTTCGAACGCAGTTTTCTTCTGCAAAAGATACCTTGTACTGATTTATTAATAGCTACCATATTCAGTTTTGTTTTTTCAGCACTAACAGCAATCAGATTTAAGAGACTGGTACGCTTATCTCATATACCGTTGAATTTTTCAATAGTTTAAAGACAACCATCACAAATCAAATAAAAATCTACACTGTATTAGAAATAACTGCTAAGAATGTCTAAGTTTCAAAAGACCTACCTGACACAGGTGCATCATTAATGACTATTTTTGCAACATTTACGAATCACATATATTTATAACTTTTTGTTACCATAATAATTAGTGGTAACGAATTTTAAGCAAATTAGTGGTACTACCTTAAAATGTTTTACTTTTTTTATCATCGCTGAGACCAAATATTTTTCCGTTAAATTTAGTCGACTCAACGTTCCTAAACCTTGAAGAAACATTTTCAAATAGTTTTTCGTACCACAGTGTTATCCAATCGCGTTTAATTTAACGACTTCTACTATTTGATCTAAAATTGCTAGTTTATTTTGTTGATTATGGGAATTTAAATTCAACAGATACCACTTGGGTAAACCTAGATGAAATAAACCGCAGATATGGCATTTCGTATTGTTATCCAAAAAATCGAAGCTCATAGTTCAAAAAAGGCAATAAAATATGGCAAAACGACGCAAAACCACAAAAGATCTTCTAGAAAACAGGTTAATATTATTTTCTCATTCATAACTTTTGCATGACTCACTGTCTTTTACGCATTAAAACCGAATGACGTAAATGACCTATATCATGAGACACGGTTCTCATTTGAGTATAATCCCTCACCTAGTATTCACTCATCATATAAAAGCCTCACTGTTTCATTTTTTATTGTTAGAAATAATCTTTAGTGGTTATCTAAAGATTGTTAATCAGGTCCTACAAACTACAAAAATTTGTAAGTTTAGTCAGGAATGGAAACAAAACATAAAGTTGAGGTAAACATTCTACTAACAAAATTTCGCTTTCTATGGCAGATATCAGAAAGTGTGTAATCTCTAACCAATGTGGAAGGATAGGTTCATATATTATCTTCTGCTTTCAAATTAGTGAACTTTGCTTTAATCTTTTTCTTTTTAAATTTATCAGGTCTCGAACTATAGGTGTGGATTGGACCAGTAACGTTTCTAGTCTAACGGTGATACGTTTTCATATTTCGTAAAAATGGATACATTTACATATATCTGAAGAGACAAATAATAAGATAGCATTCTGAAGTTCTTTTATAAAACTGAAATCAAAGAGTAAACCATGACATTAGACAAGATAACGTACTCAGTACAGTATTACATAGAACGCAACTTGATTTGATACCTGCAATTTCAAGTAAATCTTAAATTATTTATTTCTCGGTTGGAAGTAAACAGCTGTTCACAAACATCTCAATTCGAAATGTTGAGAGTACTAAAATGAAATTCATAAATGCTTTACGACGTGTGAGTACCGATGGTGGCTATAATTTAAATTCTTTTGAAAACTTCATTGCAAAACAACTTGCTCCACGAAGTTTATAGTTTCGTAATATATCAAAGACTTTTTGCATAAATCGAAAGTTTTCATTGTCAAACTTGGTTACTCAGTATGAATTCATCAATAGCTTTTCTTCATTTGTTGGCTATAGTTGAAAATGTCATGTAGAGTTCTAGCTTAAAAGTTGTACATCTAACTGTACTACTGTTCATTTACATTCTAATTACAGCTATGGCTACACCTATCGTCAGATATGATTCTGTTTGACCAAGTGAATAAATCAACTTTGGATAGCTAGTTAAGTGTTAATGGAAATGTTTTTTTGCACTTGTGATCAAACTTTTGACAGCATTTTTCTTACGAAGATTGATTATTTACCCCTTATGACCTCTTTTTGACAAACAAGCCAATAAATAGTTCCGCGCAGTAATTCAAATATCGATTTTTATTTTAGCTGTATAAACCCTGTTTTGTTGTATTCACCTGTGAAATTAATATGAAGTACATTGTTTACCTGATCTTTGAGCTCTTCAGAAACTATATTTAACGGGTATAATGGGGTTTGAGTATGAAAATCGATATCTTAGCTCTCAGAAATTGGAGAAAGATTGAGGTTATTGATTGCAATTGACCCTTACCAGTTTTTAGACAACGACGTGGCGCAAACTAAAACGTATATACCTAGCATACACTGCTCAATACCATTATCTTTGTAGTTAGTGTATTATTAACAAATCAGTTCTGGAGCCAATAGGCTTTGTCAGGAATTTTGAGAACTTTTAGGATTAGTTTTCAGGAAAAATTAGTACTGAGAACTTTATTCAGCCACTAAATTAGTAAAACTAAAAACGCCCAAGTCAGTAAACTCTGTATGTTGCCTTAATAAGACCTTTTTTGTAAGCAAGTATCAGAAAGCAGACAATTATTTCTGTGTTTAAACGATCCGTAGGGTTATGGACCACTGCGTCTTGATATCATCTATGAGTTTTATGAAATAAAGTGATTTGATAGCCTCTGATTTAGAAGTCAGGAAAAGAATCGTGAACGTTTTGGTTCCGATATTTCACGAAAAAGCAAAAGTAAACTGCTGAAGAGGTTTATACGCGCACGTAACACATGTTTAATTCAGATTGTTTTCTATGGCTCTGCAAACAAAGTTACCAAAGGAATAAAGTTATCTGCAAATTACTAACGATTACACAAGATATAACAAACTTAAAAGTAAGATAAATGATGAAAAACGGTTATAAATAAAATTTGACATTTTATTTAGTACTTTAATTCATCCCCAATCCTGTTTTACTTAAAAAGCCAGCTCTTCGAAGAATTCAAATAATCTGCTTAGTTGTATGGAACACATCTTGACCAAGTATTGTGTGGAGTTAAAATTACCAAGATCTTAACGATAAAATCATTAAACACATTTTCAAAACTAAATCATAAGTTCCAAGCACGAAAATACTTAGTAAAAAAACTAGTGGCCAAATGAATAAAAAGTAACTTAAAAAGCTTGTCTAATTTACGTGAGGTGCTACCAATACACGCTTTAAAAGCTACTCCAACTAACCTTGAGTTGGGGAGGTTTTAAGACGCTTACACAATCCAGAAGCTCCACCGAATCTTTTATTCACAACTTCTACTGCTTCAGCTCCACGTAACTGCATAAGTCCCTGCAGTTCACGCATAGAGCAACCAAAGTTCGTAGAAGAACTATTGCTGTCTTCCGCAGAGTAGCGTTCACGCATTTTTATATATTTACGCAGATGGAATAGAAAGTTGAAAACTTATACGTCAATCAGAAATTTATCCTTAGGTCGAATATTAGTCCGAATGATTTGCAATGTAACCAAGTTAACATAGTTTTGCATTAAAGCAAACTCAATAATCAGTTTGATTATGTGGTAAGCAAATCGTAACGTTAGGAACTCTTGAACTATTTTAAAGTGATCAAATCTCCCGCAAACTCAACATTCGAAACAGAGAATTTAGAAGTTGATGTTTGTTGAAAAGTTTAAACAAAATACAATTTTGCTAAGGCATTACCATGTCCAATTACTTTAGATGACTAAAAATCCCGTGGAAATAAAGCACACGATTATGTGCATACAAAATTTCCGCTTATTGAACTGACACTTGATAACAATATCTTTAATAGATTTATTGTTTCAACAAATTAAATTTTATTAGCTGTTAAGTTAAAGGTCGTTTATTTTGTAGTGATATTATTGTTGAAAAGAGAATAACAATAATTCAGCATCATAGCAGGATTGAATGGTTGATTGATTGCACAGAAAATAGCATCAAGTTAATCTCCAACGAAAAGCCGTTCCCATCATTGTAGACCCATTGAGGCCCTTTCTAGAATATCTTGACATTGAGAATGTTCGGGACTGTCCTTAGCACTTGTCTAATATTTCACGTATTTCCCTCTTATCTTAAACGTGACATTGTCTCCTTCGAAGGCGTTCAAATAAAGGCAGCTTTTACTAAATATCTTTCCCCGGTTGTTATGGTACTCGGTGGGATTTCTTGTAATAATATTTTTATCAATGTTTTGGTCCCACTTTCGATTGTACACCAGAAGTTATATGATATCTCGTTATATCCTCTTAGATTTTAACGGCCATATTCGATGTCGATAAGGAGTTACAGTAGATCGCTATTGTTTATAACCCATCAAGAATTCTCATTTACCTTCCAATTCATAGTAAATTTGTTGAATGTCCACTAAATCCATGGCTACTACCACGATATCCAAGCAAATAACTATTTCTAGTCAAGCTCAACAACCTATCGCCATTCTGTCCAACTAACTCTGTGAGTAGATTTTTGACAGTTGGGCTCTTGACAATTTACCTACTTCTGGCACAATTTCTGACGTCTTACTTCTTCTTCGGCTATCGGTATTTACATTTGAATTCCTGCGTTATTTTGTTTTGACTTCTATACCCCAAGTCTTTATGAAAGTCAAGCAGAACACTATCGACAATTAATTGTAGAATTATAGTTTGTTTTCCTAATAATTAAAATACAATTGAAGATGCCACAGGTATTCGGAGTTTGACAACGCTTTAACCAGTAACACCTTCTAATACGAAGCGCACCCACCAAGTAAAATCAAAAGACAGAAGTGAGGAGATCGAAGATATATTTTATAAGCTATCAATATATCGAGGATCGTTTGCACTAATCTGGCTAGCGATTGCGGCAGATGTTGAGCACGGCGTTCCCACACGTGATCTGGTGCGGATGCTTGACCGAGTGCCTTCAGCTAGATGAGTCCACTAAAACTGTGGTCAGCATCCAATGTCGAAAACTTACAGAGCTATTTGATTTTGGGGAATTATTTACCGCTACAGATCACTCCCCCCTAGTAAGGTAGTGATGACCCTAAGACGTGGCCAGCCATAATTTTAAACCCAACGAGTTTTTCGTTGGTAAACACTCTTCTGATAGCTTGCTAGGTTTGGCAGCTTCTGGTCGTCTTTCCTTACTATAAGGGAACATGATGTACAATATAGTAAAAAAAGGTAAAATGCAGATTTTCGTTTCTCGCAACTTCATCGTTCTTTTCATCGTCTTTTCCAGTCGTCCTGGAAAAGAAAAAATATGTAAGTGCATGTCGAAATGCACTCCTACGCGCGTGAAAACACAAAACGGGCGAAGAAAAAGGAAAACAAACTCATGCTCACGTAATAGCGTAAAAAAGGATTTTTATAATATCGCTATTTTATTGTTTTTTCTTTTTTGAAATAAAAAAAAATTATATATAGTACCAGGGAAAATTGAGAGGATATAAAATGTTAACTTGTGTCTTACATGCAGTAATCGTTCAAGTATTCTGGAAATCTTACTCTTCTTCCAGAACGCGTTGTTTTGAGTTTATTTTCGGATACTGTCGAAGTATCAACGTGTGTGTCTGCTGTCGATTGAGGTATTATAAGGGAAGGAGTTGTGTCGTGCGATTGTATTAAGGGAGAACCGACGTGAATAGGATTTCCTTCTAAATACGCTGCTTTGAGGTGATCGATGCTGATCCTTTCGTTAGTTCCGTTCTTATCGATTATATAGTACTTAGATTCGCGTTGAAGAACTTTGAAAGGTCCTTCATATGTTGATTCGACAGGTCGTCGATGCGAGTCTAGACGTACGAAGACGTGTGTACTATGTAGTAAGTCAGGTTGAACGAAAACATCAGTTGATTGTGGTCGAGTGGAAACAGGTTTAACTGAACGCATTGCGTTTGTAAGTCTGTTCGCGTAGGAGGTTAGATCCATGTTCATCGAAGAGGATGAAGGATCCACGAATTCTCCTAAAAGTCGAAGTGTTGTTCCATAAACGAGTTGAGACGCAGTGTATCCAATGTCAGGTTTCACTGCATTGCGAATACCTAGTAAGACGAGTGGAAGAGCGTTAGTCCACTGAGAAATGTTTGAGGCTGATAGTGACGCTCTTAGTTGTCGGTGAAAACGTTCTACCAACCCGTTTGCCTGTGGGTGGTAGGCTGTCGTTCGGAAGCGAGTGATTCCTAGTTTCGCGGTCAGACAACGGAAAAGTTCAGATTCAAACTGACGTCCACGATCTGTAGTGATTGTTGTTGGGCAGCCGAAGTTTGCTACCCATCGTTCGACGAAGGCGCGGGCCACTGTTACAGCAGTAATATCTTTGATGGGTACTGCTTCTGGCCATCGAGTAAAACGGTCTACACAGGTTAAAAGATAAGAATATCCATTTGAATCTGGTAAAGGTCCTACCAAATCCAAATGAACATGGTCGAAGCGAACATCGGGAGTTTTAAACCAGCCTAGGGGACTTTTGTTATGTCTAATCAACTTAGATTTCTGGCAGCTTACACAGGAGCGTGCCCACTCCCTCACGTCTTTATTCATACCAGGCCAGCAAAACCGTTCTGCTATAAGCTTGATGGTTGCACGAACACCTGGATGAGAAAGTCTGTACAACGTATCGAAGACGTTGCGTCGATATTGTTTCGGCACGATTGAGCGATCCCTACCTGTAGATGTGTCACAAAGTAAGGTTTCCTTACCTGTTCCCATATGTTTAATGCGCAGTTTAAGTGTTGTTGACGATAACTCGTGCTGAAGATCACTGTCTTCTTTTTGAATTTGGGCGAGTTTTAAAAGGTCGATTCCTTGGAAACTGTTCAAGGAATTTATGCGAGACAAGGCGTCTGCAACTACATTGTTTGCTCCAGAAATGTGTCGAATATCTGAAGTAAACTGCGAAATGTAGTCCAGTTGTCGAGACTCACGTGGTGAGTACTTGTTCGAAGAAGAGCTTAAGGAGAACGTAAGTGGTTTATGGTCGGTAAAAAAGATAAATTCACGGCCTTCGATATAGTGTTGAAAATGCCGGACAGCACAATACATAGCTAGGAGTTCCCTACCGAATGTGCTGTACCTCGATTCAGTGTCTAGCAACCGTCTAGAGAAAAATGCCGACGGTTGCCAGGAGTGGTTAACCCATTGTTGTAAGACTGCTCCGATTGCTCAGTCGCATGGGTCTACTGCGATACTAATGGGCGCTTCAGTGTCCTGATGAGCAAGCATTGTTGCTTGAGCGATATGTTCCTTAACCGTGGAGAATGCTTTTCGGGTAGTGTCATCTAGATTAATGGATTTCGCATTTCCACGAAGTTGGTCGGTAAGGGGTTTCATAAGTAACGCGCATTTCGGTATGAATCGTCTATAAAAACTTACCAGACCGTTAAACGTGCGCAATTGCTTGATGGTGGTCGGTTCTGGCTAATCCAGAATGGCCGCCACTTTTGTTCTAAGGGGTCGAATGCCATGCGCATCTATGGTGTGTCCTAAGAAGTCTAAGGATTCGGTTCCGATTTGGCATTTCTGAATGTTAACGGTAATACCATGTTTTTGTAGTCGGTCGAAAACAAGGTCCAGATGCTGGAGATGTGATCCTCTCTCCGGACTTGCTATTAGACAGTCATCAACGTATGCATGTACGAAGTTGAGACCTCGAAAAACGTGATCTATGAACCTTTGGAAAGTCTGTGCTGCGTTTCTCAGACCGAAAGGCATTCGCAAAACTTCATAGAGTCCGAAGGGCGTTATAATAGCGGTTTTTGGAATGTCTTCAGTGGCCATAGGAATTTGGTTATAAGCTTTTACCAAGTCGATTTTTGAAAAGACAGTTGCACCTTTCAAGGTAGCTGTCATATCGTGAATGTGGGGCAACGGGTAACGATCGGAAATGGTTTTCGCATTCAATCTCTGATAGTCACCAGTTGGACGCCAATCGTTGCTGTCCTTTTTAGGGATCGTGTGCAACGGAGATGCCCATGGGCTATTTGACGGTCGTATGATTCCTAAGTTTATCATATGGTCGAATTCTTTTTTCGCCAACCTTAACTTTTCGGGGGCCAGTCGGCGTGCTTTCGACAAGACAGGTGGTCCTGTAGTCGTGATGTGATTTGTAACATTGCTGGTTACACACGGCAACTTCGGTTGCGATTGGTAAATGCCAGAATATTTATCGAGTAGTGGTTGGTAGAACGGGTCTATAATGTGCTTAATAGTGACTGGAGATAACCTGCAACCAGAAAAAGAAGTCAGGCAAACAGATAAATTAGTGTTTCCGTCTACTAGCCTCCGTTTGCGCGTATCGATAATTAAGTTGTGGTGTTGTAGAAGGTCCATACCAATGATTGGCATAGAAACATCTGCAACAACAAAGATCCAGTGAATGGGTTTGCGTAAACCCATGTTAAGATAAACATACCTTTGGCCATACGTGGCGATAGGCTTTCTGTTTGCCGCCTGTAGATTTAAAACAGGCTCGTGTAGCCGGTCGTCGGAATTCGCTGGGAGAACGCTAACCTCTGCGCCAGTATCTACGAGGTAGCGAACTCTCGTTATCACATCAGTGACATATAAAAGACGGCTATGTTCGCCGGCTACGGTCGCCGTTAACTCGTGCCGGCTTGGAAGTGTCCCGAAACGTTCTTCG